AGACGAATTTTGACCTACAAAGCATGAGGAATCAATTCAGATAAGTGCAATCATTGCAAATTCAAGTAAATCAATTGATGATAGCAATTAACCGCCTAGAATCCCAAGTCCAAGGAAGACTTTCAAATTATGAAGAATTGCCCTCACAGACCATCGTCGACGTTAAGAAAGATGATGATGTATTTATTCCGACAAATAATATGGAATTACAAGAGTTTCAAGAAAATGGATATAAAGATGCAATTGAAAAGGAAGTTGAAGTGCAAGAAATGAGGCCTCAACATCAATTTGTTCAAGTGAATGAATCCAGTAAACAATCTCCAAATGCGGTGACATCTCCTCCATTTCTTAATCAATATTCTCCTGACTCTTATTCTTCAATTCCTGTTAGTGAGATCGACTTTATTATATCAGAAAATTTTGAATTTCATGACAGGAATAAGTTAAGAGCAGCGATGGCAAAATATCTTGGATCAAAAAATGCGTGTGATGGAGGAGTGAGTGACGAATCCAGATTATTGTTGACTGGTTTGACGCCATCTACTAGCTCATGGAAGATCGTAGCTCGTGTGTTCAAAAATTACTCTATTTATGAGGGCTATCAGGACTATATATAAGATGAAACACTGAAACGAGTTACAAGATTTTATCCTCCCTGAACAAATATGACAATGTCTAGCCAAAGACATTAAAGAAAGGCGCTTTTTGGGAGGCAACTCGAATATTGATTTTATTGTTTTTAGTTGTTCATTTCTTTCATTTTGTCGTTTCCCCCGTTGGGTAGTATTAGTATTAATATTTTCCTCCACTGTGACTAGGAAGTGCAATCTTGACGTGCCCACGCAGCGTTTGTGTCTCCTGAGGTCAGTAGACGTTTACCGATCTTGGCGTGCCCACGCGGTGTTTGTGTCTCCTGATGTCAGTGGGCGTTTACCAATCTTGGCATGCCCATGCGGTGTTCGTATCTTCTGAGGTCAGTGGACGTTTTATAATCTTGGTGTGCCCATGCTGTGTTTGACGACCCAAAAACAAAGGAAATAATTTTTCATTTTCAAAAATAAAAATAAAAAATAAAAATAAAAGTAATTTCCGTTTTCATTTTCAGTTTTGGTGTTCGAAATTCAAATTTTCCAATCTCAATTCAATTCTAAAAAAAAAAATTTCTAAAAAAAAAAACTTTTTTTTTTCTTTTTTCTTCTTTCTTTCCCTTTTCTTCTTCTTTCCCGCTGCCTTGTTTCCCCTTTTTCCTTTCTTTCTTCTTCGATCTTCCTCGCCGCCGCCACCTCCCTCCATCTCCTCATTGCGCGCACTACCGCCTCCCTTTCTCTCCTGGCCAACCCATCCGCACCTCTCCACCAACTCTTCCTCGCACACTGCCGCCTTGGACCCCTCCATCGCGAGCCTTTAGGCCGCTATCCGCAGCTCACCTAAGGCGCGCGCCGCCTCTCTTTTCTCCCTCACTCACCCCCGCGCGCCACCTCTCGCTCAGCCCACGTCATTCGTCCGCCGCCGCTGCTGTCCGCCACGCCACTAGACAATGCCATTCGCCGCCCGTCTCTCTGTTTTCCCCTTGCTATGCGTCACCACCTGCCAAAATTGACAAGTGGAGGTATTGAAATTTCTCTCTCATTTAGTATTTCTCTGAATCTTCAATTGCTGGAATTTGTGCCCTTTTTTTGGGTTTCTTGATGGATAAACATAGGAGGAGATTTGCTTAATTTTCTTTTTCCCGTTGAATTGGTTGGGAGTTTCTGTGCATTTTTGGTATTTGGTTTTTGAAGGCACCTCTGATAGTTCATTTATTTGGGAGTTATTTGGGGTTGATTTAGGAGTTGCTTGCCAATTGATTCCCATTTTCATTTCTTCTAATTTCTAGTACGGTTTGGTCTTGGTTAGGGTTCCTCAGTCATTTGGATTGGCATTTGAATTAATTCTTTTCTGTGGGGTACACCAGTGGTATTGGTTGGGGTATTTTGTCTACATTTATTGATTCTATTTGGTTGGCTGCCTGATTAAAAGCTAAAAAATTTGTGATTAAGTTGTTGTCCACATTTTGAACTGCTGTTGCTAGAATTGTCGGTTTCTTGGGACATTTGCTTATTTCAGTTGGCTGAATTGTGTAATTGACTATCCTATTGGAGCCATTTGTCAGCGTTTATGCAGAAATTTGGCAGTGTTTATGCACCACACGGGGTTAACATTAAAATTCATGAATCACCACACCGCCGTGACTCCGACTTCAGGGAAGTACCGTTGCCCTTCTCTTTACTTTTGCTATTGGTTTATCACATTGAGGGCAATGTGTTATTTAGGTGTGGGGGGAAGGTCAGTTGTGGTGCAAGTGCACGTTTTTTCCAGTTTTTTTAATTTCTAGAAGTTTTTCCTTTATTTTTAGTTTGTTTTCGTCTATCTTTCGTTTATTTTCTTTTCTTTTTTCTAGTGGTCAGTTCTTATATGAATACCAAGTTTTGATCTGGGATTGTTATCTCTAATTCTGCTATTGCCATGTTTTATTAATAAAAGGGTATCAAGTTAATGTGGTTGAGTTCAGGGACATCTTTTTGGTGAATATCAGTAATTGGTTGACTCTTCTAATTTTTGGTTAATTTTTTTAGGCGTAGGGAATGATTGTTGGCATTTTTCATGTGATTTGGTCCAATTATTAATTTTAGTTCTCCATGTTTGAAAATTTGAGGCTGGCTGCATTATTTTTGTGTTGTTTTTAGCTATTATGCTATATGATTGTAAATAAGAGTTGATTGTACTTCGCTAGTGGTTACTATTGAGTAACCGGGGATTTTCACCTAAAGTGTCAATTCTCGCGTCAAAAGGTAGTAGTTACTATGGGTGCGTGGTCCCATAGCGATTGGAACTGAGTAACCGGGCTCCTCCATCTGGCAAATGTTAGAGTTCGCGTCAAAAGGCTCTAAGGGCTATAGACTAAGTCTTTTGTTACTCAAAAAAAAAGAAAAAAGAAAAAAAAGAAGTAAAGTAAAGATTGTGTTAGTATGTGAATAAGTCAGCTTGCCGATTTGTGATCTTAATGTCGAGATTTTGGTTAATAGTTGGACCGTTTGTTGATAAATATGAGCAACCATTTCTTTTTCTTAGATTAGTTTGCTTTAAATTGGAGGAGTTGGTGGTTGGGAAGCTAACTGGGGTGATTTTTCTTTGATCTTGACCTGTGATGCTTGATTTATGTTTTTCTGGGTATCTTGGCAATACGGTAGTTGGAGCAATAGCCATTGTCAAATTTTGGTGTTCAATTGCTGTTCTCATGTTTGAGGACAAGCATGATTCAGGTGTGGGGGAAATTGATGGGGTGCTAATTGTCTGTTATTTTATTATTAATTTTCCCCTAGTCCCTACCAAATATTGTTTTAATTGTTAATATCTACTTATATTTGGTATCTGGACTTAATTTCAGGGAATAGAGTAGAAAACTATAAAAAAGGAGGTACTTTCTAGAGCAAATTACTTCACACATGGGAGACTGCTAAAAAGCTCCATCAACGTGGCCCACAAGAAGAGAACAAAACTAATTTCATACCTTTTTGCTGATGAAGAGAGGACTCGTACTTGGAGTCCTACTATCAATAGGAAGCAATGAGCAATTCGGCTGGGCTCCACCTTTCTGTATTCTCTTCTCTTTATTCGGCAGGGCATTCTTCTAGTAGATTTTGGACTCTAAATTTCGGCGGGGACCACGGAGAGAAAGCATTAGTGATTAGTCATTTTGGCTTTAAAAAGAAACAAACGTACAGGTGGCTCTTGGCAATAGTTTTAGGATAGTTTTTAGTTTTCTTTTCTTTTCCTTTCATGCGCGACTTTTGTTTGACAAAAGTCCCAACTGGAAAACAGCTTTACTTTTTGAATTTTTAGCGAAAAACGTGATGCCTTGTGACTCAATTAATTTACATGGAGATTTATTTATGCGGCATGGCTAAACCTCTCATCTAGTCTAAGGCCAACTTGAAAACGCGGTTCCAGATATCTATGAGATCGAATTAATTTTATTTATTTCTTTTATTCACTGGTATTTATACGTTTCCTGATTTAATTGTTTATGCTTGTTATGTTATTTGAATGTCAAGGGTCCGATATTCGAATTAACCTAATGATCTAATGCTAAATTTATTGATTGAATCCGTAATTGTTCAATTGATTAATACCAGTGGCGACTAGCGTGATTGGTTTCATGTTAGGGAAACGTATGATCTAAATTAAACAAACCCTCGTAGCGTGTTTGTTGGTTAGGGTTAGGTTTTTCTAATTATTAATGCAATCGAGTAATTAAATCCTACGGTTGTACTTAGGGTTATTTCTTGGTTAGAGAAATAATTAACGGTTGTACCTTAACTATCGAGAAATTAAGAAAACGCTGGTTGTTCATCGCACGTATGATAACTATAACCAATCTATTAATGAGTAATTGAATTATCTTTGCATCGATGATCAGTTGAATGGACCGTGTCTGAAAAGTTATACCTTTGGTTAGAGTCGTATTGGTTATTAATTAATTTTTATTTATTTCTATTAGTTGTTTCATTAGTTAGTAAATTAGCAATTTTATATTTTCCAAAAATCTCCCATGCGTTAAACTCTAGAAGAAATGAATTATCCCCAATCCCTGTGAATTCGACCTGCTCATCGCTATATACAAAATTTATATTTTTTTTGAGTAGGTAATATTATTGCACATGCATCAACAACGTGTGAGGAGGATAGGTCCAAATCCCTCATTTGCTTGAGATTTCCCAGTGGTGGCACAAATCGGAGGTCCCCACAACCCCCCAAAATCAAAGCAGTGAGATTGACCAAGTTTGAAACAGAATTAGGCAACTCTGTTTTACCTCCGCACCGAGATAGATTCAAAACTTTAAGTCCACACATGTGCCGAAAGAATGAATCTGGGATTTCTTCTATGAAAACGTGAGAAAGAAGCAAGGTTGAGAGCTTAGGACAATTTGGTGACCAGGCTGGTGGAATTTCTATTAGTCTTAAAAAACATTGTGCACAGAAGGAGACTGCATGGAGATCTCTGTCCATTCTTTTTGTTCCAGCATTACTTTTGAATCACTCCGTCCTAAGCTTTTCACCAAGAACAGTGGTACATCATCTCTGCTGCTCTCTGGTTTGGAGTTTCCATGCGTGATCCTTAATGCCATATCTCTGACCAAATCATGCATCTTCACACGGTCATCCCCTTTGAAATTTTTTGCTTTTTCCAGCAAGCAAACTCTTATCAGTTTGTTTAATATCTTTTGACCTTGATCAAATGCTTTTGACCATGAGTCCCGTTTTGACATCAGCTCTGCCCCAATAAAGAGGTCTATTAGTTCCTTTCTTTTTATTTTCCAATCTTCTGGATAAAGACAGCAATACAAGAAGCTCCATTCCAGGATGCGAAACACATCTCGTTCCATCTCATGATACCCTATTGAACATGTTTTCAATTGTTCCAATGCATTTCTCCACTCACAAATGTCTCTCACACCTCTCATGCTTCCAGCCACTGTGATAATGCCAAGAGGCAAACCATCACACTCTTCCACAATGGACTTGGCAATACTTTCCAAATCTCCTTGAAGCAAGGGCTCTCTGCCAAGTTTATACTTGAACAAATCCCAAGCTTCGTCCGTGTCCAAAGTTTGCAAATCAAACTTTCTTTGACATTGTATCCTGTTGCACACTTCCAGTGAGCGTGTAGTCAAAATCAATCTGCACTTGTTTGGATGAAGAGGAATCCCTACCCTGTCTAAACAAAATTCTTCCCAAACATCATCCAATATGAGTACTATTAATTTCAGCATTTTCCTGAATGCTTCACGCAATATTCTTGCCCTGGCGTCTTCCTCGTCCCTACTTGATAGAGTAATGCCTAAGACATTGGCAATCTTATCCTGCAAATTGGTGATACTGAAATCTTGAGATTCTGTAACCCAAAGCACCCGATAATTGTTCTTTTCTAAAAGATGGTACTCAATGTGCCTCGCCAGTGTGGTCTTACCAACTCCACCCATTCCATAAATCCCAATGCTTGATATATCATCGGTCACCAAGCATGGCCAAATTCTCTTCAAAGCTTCATCGAACTTTACTCCAAACAATTTGGCTGGCAGGCATGGCTCCCCGATGTTCTCGCAAGTATCGAGCACAAACCCATTGAAATGACGGCTATGATCAATAAGTTCTGTCACCTGAAGTTGCAGCTTTCCAACAGGATCCGCCTTTACTGGAAGATCCTCTTGTTTCTAATGCATCAATTTCAGGACTTAATTTTTTAACGTCCTTCAACCAATTATCAACTTCACTTTTCCTTTTCTTTTTACCTGACATTTCTTCCCTATTCACTTCTTGTTCTACGTCAGATGCTTTGCAACTCAATTCTTGCCAATTCCTTTTCAGCAATTGCACGTTATCCATGTGACTCCTTCCCATGCAATTTTCTACCACCAACTCTGCCATCTTTCCTGCCGCCTTTTCTGCCAGAGCTTTTCCAACTGATGGTATCATCTAGAATTTAAAAATATATCAAGCTTAGGTGCATAAAGCAAATTGAAGCAAATCCGAAGATTAAAATTGAAGAGAACATCAAAAGTTGCCAACGGAACTTGGTCTACCCATTGTTTAGATTTTTTTGGGTAGGCCATTGTTTAGTAAAGATTAATAACCAGAAAAAGAAAATGTTTTTCACTCAATTCAATAATTGTTCAGGTATAAGCTAATCTAGAATTCTTCTGACTGACAAAAGTACAATAGTTCATTCAATATTTGGAGAAATGATAAAAAATTCTGAAGATTGATTTTGAAAAACTTAGAAGAAAAACTTACGCGGAGTTCATAGAATATCTAAACCCACAAACTTTGGAGTTTCAATAATTTCACTGAACACTTCTACACATTACCCTACGGATTCTTATACATTACACTAAACTTTGAGTTCGTAGAGATACTTTTCTTATGTAATATTTATTTCCGAAATACTTTTCCTATGTAATGTTTTATTCCAAATTTTATGGGATTCTGAAGGAGAGTTGGCATAAGTTGTTAGGTGCTAAGCCCACATCACATGTACAAAATATCTCTAAGAAGCATTAATTTTGTGGTGCAAATTTAACCTGCTTGATGCAGCTAACTATTTTTTTTAAGTGCGTGATTAATCTGTTAAAAAATTTATCAAGAAAATGCATGTTCTTTGTTTTTCCAAAAAAAAAAAGGGAAAAGAAAAGAAGAATTGTGCACGAAAACCTACTTCATTAGTCCTTGAGTTAGATACCTTGTGTAATTTTTTATTTCATTATTTTTAATTTTGAGTACATCAAATTAATGATCTAAACAAAATAGGTAATAAGTGCTGTACCCTAAAATATGTCAAGATAAAAATGGCTCAAACACACTAAATTTTTTTTCCCAAAAAAGGAGGAGGAGGATATTTTTTTTTGAAGCAAGGAGGACATGTTTAAAAAATCCTACCTAGATGAAAATATCTCAACAATATTCCTTTTTTTTGGAAAAATTAAAAGCTTTTAGGTAAAAGCTTCTGAGTTATAAGATTAACACCAAGATCCGTATATGTTTCAACGCCCGACAGGCCGACGATTTGAATATCAATTGACTCCTATGAATCCATCCTGTGCTCGGGTTTAGCTTTGTTAGTATTAGTTAGATCCGAGTTGGATCATCTCATTCTGTCAATCATGTAAAAAGTTTGAACAGAACACTTCATGTGTTGAAAGAACAAGTGACCGAGATATTTGGGCCCCACAAAGCTAAACGTAACATGATGAAACGAGAAACAAATACAAAAATTTACAAATTCAAGATGTACCTTGAAATCAAGACAAGTTATCTTGAAGATTTGAAGAAGTTGAAAACTGCTAGACTCTTCTGTCAAAAGACAAGAAGTTTATATTATATTTCGATCTCTCCTTCGCTACTACAAGGACTACATTCGTTAAGTTTTAGTGAATGAACTATATAACTGGATCAAGATGTTGGTGCCAAGCAAAGATACGCAAACTCCAAAAGCTATTAAATTCAGATGGTTATGAGCTCATTATACCTGAATTGACAAGAAAACTTGAGGAAGCTGAAAATCTGGAGACTCTGCCAAAAGCACGTATTATCAACCAATTTGCGAGAGGCACAGTATAAAATACAACTTTGGCTACAGCAGTTCAAACCTTTCCACTTTGGCTACATCCAAAGAACTGTATGTATTTTTAAATCCAAAGAATATGTTGCAACTCTAGAGAATTGCACTTACTTTAAAATCTAAAAAGAATGTGCAGTAGTATATCTTCAAAGTTTAAATATACTACTATTGAGTAGTGCACACTCTTTTCAAAAAAAATGTCTATTACGTATACTAAATATTAGGACAGAGACAAATTTAACTTCGGTTCCGTAGTAAGCATACGTGTTTTTATCCTTTGGCTTATGCAATACGATTTCTTAAAAGCTATTTCCAAGGTATGAGAAATTTTAAGATATTGTGCTTTAATTATATAAAAAAAAATTACATGACTATTTAATTCAGCTCTCATGTTCCCCGAATTCACATGCATGCTGATTCAGCACTCATGTCAAGTAATTAAGTGCTAATTTGGTCGTTCGAGTGGGTACTTAGAAGGAGCTGTGGTAGTGCAAAGATGTTGCACATGATTTGCTTTTCACTTTGCATTGGAGATTGGACAATTAAAATTTAAAAGCTCCCACCGCCGAAAGGGGGAAGACTTGGTGGCCATCGACGTTGACGAATTGTCGAGAGGAAAAATCCAGGAAGTTGCAGGCAGGTTTTTAAAATTTTGGAGGTGAAATTATCTAGGGAAGGCAACTAGTGGGCTTGAAGTGGGGTGCCTCCCCCTCGTCCCTTGGCCGTCTTCCACAGGCTCCGTCCGCCTCTGCCCAGCTACCCCTGCACTTGCATGCGTGGGCGTCCACTTCTATTATTCTTTTTTTTTATTTGACTTTATTTATATGTATACAATGCTGATAATAGATTTGCTAATCATTTTTTGAATTTTTAACCAATAATTCAACATAAAATAAAGTTTAAAAATTATTTTGATCTTTGTGAATTCATTTCTCCATATCTAATTTTAGATAAAATCTAAATCAACTATCATCGTCTTTTTTACAACATGCCATATGTCAAAAAATAGTAATCTAACATAGAAAGATATCATTTTACCAAATAAATAAAAAGAAAGCAAAAGATAATTAAAAAAGCAAGATTACAATTTTACCACAATTTCATATTACACATATATATAATCATATTTTCCTTCCCCGCTCCCCATCCTATCTACAATAGGGTGAGAAAAATGTCCCCTCCCTCCTCCCGTCTCAAGCCCTGCTGTTCTCATTACACCATCTCTAAAATTATTAGGTGAAATTAGAATGAAATAATTGACATCTCGTGGGTGATTATTTGCAAAGTAAACACTAGTAGTTGTGTCTCCAAAATATGGTTTAACTATAGATACACTAGTTAAATCACAATCAGTTCAAAGAGAAATTGAAAATCTTCTTTACCTCTCCCCTTTCTCCTCTACCCTCTTCCTCTTTATAAGATTTAAATCTCCCTTAAAACTATATAAAGAAAAATACTAATATTTGTAAGGTATCCACTAACAGTAGTGGAAGTTTCCTTAATTAATATATATCAAATTCTTGAAAGAATATTATACTAATTTTCTTTTTCTTTTTGTAACGCAATCAAGACTCAAAACTTGACAGTTAGTACCCTCACATCCAACTTTTCTTATAACCAGGTTCAATCCTTCAATGTCGAGGCTGCCAATGGTCCTCTCGAGGAGTACATTCCCAAGAGTATTTAAAAGAAATTTACAAAGAGTGGTAGTTTTCAAACCCCTTTTTAAAAGGTGAAAAACGTATTTATTGAATATAATATGTTTCTTAAAAAATTGCATTCACATATAATGTTTTGAAAGGCTGCACACGGTCCTTAGAGTCCACTACGATTTTGTGGCTACACAGATAGAGGTAGCCACAAAATCTTAGTGGAGTACTTATATTTACTATATATTTAGTTGTTATTACTATCAGACCGTGTATTAGACCATTAGAAAAGAAAAGGGAAAACAATTAACATTTATACTATCAATCAAAAGACTAAAAAGATTTGCATAAATGAAGGTCACTATTTCTTTCAATCTCAGGCCTTAGATTTCACCTCAAATTTATTTTTGACTCTTTCATCTTGCTCAAGCACTAGCAGTTTTACAGAATACAGAGTCATAAAAAAATTTAAAAAAAAAAAGAAAAAAATCTCGAAGGAAATCAATTCCTAGTCCAGAGCCATTGTCAGTTGTTCTCAACATTCTTCTTCAACGTCCATCCAAATAATGATGTATTATCAATTCTATCATCAACTGTGGTTCTCCAAATTCCGCTGATTTTACAGGAAAAGCCCGTCAAAATGCTGGCTTTGCTCAGTTAATTGGACCACCTGATCTTGCATCTTTCTCACATCACGTCCAACCAAGAAAAGTTTCCAAAACTTCTCCCGTTGTATGTAATGACCGAGCTGGAGTCTAGTTATTTGACGTTAGGAAGTTAGTTGTAGAAGATATTCCAAATAACAGATTGCATGTGTCGGTTAATTGATCGAGCATGTGAGTCCTTTCATATTGCATGCGTTAGTTATATTGTTAGAATACCAGAAACTAGTATAAAGCAGAGGAGGAAGAGAAGGGATGTAGTTTTTGGATGTAACAATTCTCATTTCCCGTCTATACTATCTTAGTCTTCCCCTGCTCTCTCTTCTCATTTCCCCTGTATCTGCATTTCTCTCAATTTCTGTCTTGAATCCGTCCCTTGTTGGGCAGGTCCAGTACATTGTACCCTTCTCTGCAATGCAATGAAATCATTCTCTAATATTTGTACTTCCTCCAACCAATTGTTCACCTCTGATTTCCTCTGTTGTCCTGATCGCTCACCTCCTTCCACTTGCTCCTTTATGTCAGATGCTCTGCTGCTCAATGCCCTCAAGTTCCTAGCCAGCAATTGCATATCTGATCTCAAACCCCAGTATCTTGTCCCTGTATCCACCGATACCTCTGCAGCCCTTTCAGCTACTATGTCCTTCACCTTCTCTTTAAACTTGCCAAGCAGTCTTGTCACTCCAGATATGACCTTCTCAATGATGCTCACAATGATTTGCAGCATCATATCCAAGGCCTTCCAAATTGCATCCGTCATCTGATAAAAACAGACCAAAGAATGTTAGATTTTACAACACAAGGAATTAATAAAACAAAATCCCCCTCTTGCAGGTGCCCTTTTTTCCCCCAAAATTTTCGATCTAGGATTCGAACCCTGAAATTAATAGCAGGAAGGTCATTTGGAAATCCTGGTGGTTTTTGCAAAGCAAGTGCTTTATATATGAATGAAATAAATTATACCTTGAAGTTTGACAGGAAAGAACTCTTGAGAATAATTATACCTTGAAATTTTGGTATACCGTTCAACTGAAGCTGCAGACAATTTATCAAAGAATAACAAGCAAGAGATAGACTAGTTGGGGAAGAAGGCGATCTCTGTCCAGACGTTGACGTTGACGATGTAAATCATGGAAAATTGGTGAGAAAGTCTTGGGAAGATACCAGGCAAAAGTAGAAAGTGAGACCCACAGTACAAAATGAAGGGCTACTGAAATTGTTAGGATTGTCCAGCCGACATCAGTTAATAACAAGATTAGAAATCCGGACAAAAGATTCCAGCATCAAGTTAGACTTAATTAGTTCAAGAGCATGATCGAAATGAAGACTTCTTGGTTATACAAAATTAAAGTCAAACTTCCGCTTTGATAGAATGGAGACGCATCCTGATTGCTGATGGATCAGTAAATATAAATGTGTCAGAAAGCAAAAGCAAAATGATTTCATGGAATACGAATTTTTGTTCCTAGATATTAATGGTTAAAAATTTAATCTTCTTTTCTTGTTTTTATCTTCATTTTAGTCTGTTGCAGATGGCATGCACAATAAGGTTGCTGCACTTAGTGATGTTTTACTGACAAAAAAAAGTTAGTTTTCCTATTTCTCACGTAGAATGACAAGTAATTGAATTGTCTGCTGCAAATTTTGGGCTACCAAGTTCATTGGCTTGTAAAGGCGAACAAGTTCCTTTACATCTCATTGACAAGAGAAAGCATCATCTCATGTTTCTTTACATTTTTCCTTTTTATAATGGTCATTGTAAAGAAGTGCTAAATGTCCTAAGTTTCCGATGGTACTCAGAGATAATTCTCTTAGTACATCTGGCACTTCATTAGTGCGTCTGTTACATCTTTTTCGGGGAAGATTCAAGTCAAGGTGGAGATTTGTTGAGATGCCTTGAATTAGATCTTCGACCTTCGCTGAGCTGTACGGGGGTCTCGCTGCCCGGTCAGCGAGTCGGGGGTCCAGGGGGCGACGCGCCCCAGCTGGAGGGCTCGGGGGGCAGCGTTGCCTCCGGTGGGGGTTCGGGGGCAACGGCCGCTGAGCTGTACGGTATATATTAGTTACCGTGTCTGTTTTATTTCGGGTCTTGTTTTGGGCCTATTTTTGGGTCCAGTCTGTTTGGTTGTATATATATACACCTTATTTTAGTCTGTAAACTATTCCGATTACAACCCTAATAAATCTGATTTCCCCCAAGTTGTTCTTGTCTATTCTTATTTGTTCTTCTGTTCCGCTGCATTTGTTATAACAAGAAGCTTGATCTGTGCATGAAATTATTCAGATTACAGCTCAAGCTTGTTCTTTTCTTTAATTCTAAATGTTGCGACTGAACTCCATTAGGAATTTGAATTTCTTTCATTTTTGGTGCACAAAATTAGTAGGAAACCTAGGTAGGGACCAAATTTGATCCATATGAATTTGTAAGGGACGTAAAACTACACTTTTAAAAGTAAGGGAAGAAAAAAATTATTTTACAAAATGTAAAGGATGTTTTGAACAATTTTCCCTATAAAAAGCTTGAAGAGGGCACTCTATGTATTGAAAGGGCAAAAAAAAGTGATCAAAAATTTTTGGCCTTAGAAATCTAAATATACAACTACAAAAATTTACAAAATCAAGGTTGAATGTGATATCATTGTAACTTGAAATGAGAAAAAGTTATCTTCAAGAAGTTGAGAACTACAAAACTCTGCCAAAATATAAAAGTTTGTATAATATTTTGATCATCGCACCATTGATTTTGTGGTGTAAATTTATCCCACTTGATGCGGCTAACTTTTTTTTTTTAAGTGCATGATTCATCTTTTAAAAAAATTTCATCAGGAAAATGCATTGTTGAGATGCCTTGAATTAGATCTTCAACTCCCGCTGAGTTATACGGTATATATTAATTACCGTGTCTGTTTTATTTCGGGTCTTGTTTTGGGCCTATTTTTGGGTCCAGTCTGTTTGGTTGTATATATATACACCTTATTTTAGTCTGTAAACTATTTCGATTACAACCCTAATAAAATCTGATTTTTCCCAAGTTGTTCTTGTCTATTCTTGTTTGTTCTTCTGTTTCGCTGCATTTGTTATAACAAACTGGTATCAGAGCTCTAAGTTTGTCCTAGGGCTCGGATCACGCAACAACATGTCTGCTTTGAACATCAAGATCGACAAGTTCACCGGGAGAAATAGTTTCAGTTTATGGCAAATCAAGATGCGGGCTCTGTTAAAGCAACAGGGTCTGTAGAGTCCGCTGACGAAGAAGAAATCAGATTCCGTTGATGAAGAGTCGATGAGTCTGGAGGAAAAGGCTCACTCGACAATCATGCTGTGCCTGGCAAATGATGTCATCACTAAGGTTGCCAGTGAAGAAACTGCTGCGGGTTTATGGGTTAAACTTGAAAGTCTTTATATGACGAAGTCTTTAACCAACAAGTTGCTCCTAAAGCAACGTCTGTTCGGTCTGCGTGTGCAGGAAGGTACTCATTTTCGAGAACATTTAGATCAATTAAATACAATTCTTCTTGAATTGCGTAATATTGATGTTAAAATTGAGGATGAGGATGCCGCGTTGATTCTGTTAGTGTCTCTACCGTTATCCTATGAGAATTTTGTTCAGTCTTTTATTGGCGGTAAAGATACATTGACTTTAGAAGAAGTAAGATCAGCACTGCATAGTAGAGAGTTGCACCATAAAGCGGCTGGTAATGTTACAGATAATCAGGCTGCTGGGCTAGTTGTCAGCAGTGGTAAAGGAAAATCGAGGAAAAAGAAGTCCGGAAACAAGAAGCAGTTCTCTAAAGGTCCTAAGCCGGATGATGTCTGTAACTATTGCAAGGAAAAGGATCATTGGAAATCTGATTGTCCCAAGAAGAAGAAACAGCAGGAAAAACAACACGCTTCAGCTTCAGTTGCAGAAAAGGAAGCGGAAAATTCAGAAGAAGACCTGGCCCTAATTGCAAACGAACCAACACATCACTCTGATGTGTGGGTTCTTGATTCTGGGGCGTCCTATCACATATGTCCAAATAGGGAATGGTTTACAACATATGAGCAGATAGATAGCGGAAATGTCGTGATGGCTAATAGCGCTGTCTGCAAGGCTGTTGGAATCGGTTCGATTAAGATCAGGACACAAACTGGAAAAATTGCCGCACTGAACGAAGTCAGGCACGTCCCTAAAATAACGAAGAATCTGATATCACTTAGTACTCTTGACAGTAAGGGTTTCAGGTTCAGCGGAGGAAGTGGAGAGTTGTGCATCAGTAAAGGTTCATTAGTGGTTCTCAAAGGAGTTAAGCATGACACCCTGTACATCTTACAAGGTTCTACGCTAACAGGTTCTGCTGCTGCTGCTGTTGCATCTTCCGAAGATCGCAGGTCTGATATGACCAAGCTGTGGCACATTAGGTTTGGTCATATGAGCGAAAGGGGGATGCAGATTCTGTCTAAATGTGATCTTCTAGAAGGCCACAAGGTCACCGATCTTGGATTCTATGAACATTGTACTTTCGGTAAATTACATCACAGAAAGTTTGGGAAGGCAATTCACAGGACAAAAGGCACACTGGATTACATCCATTCTGACTGTTGGGGTCCTTCACGAGTTGAGTCTTTGGGAGGCTGTCGATATTTTTTATCCATGATTGATGATTATTCAAAAATGACTTGGGTAATCGTTATGAAGGAAAAAGGTGAAGCTTTCAAGAACTTCAAGCAGTGAAAGGTCTTAGTGGAGAATCAAACTGGAAAGAAGATCAAAAGGCTGAGAACTGATAATGGTCTGGAATTCTGTTCAAAGGAGTTCGATGAGTTCTGCAAAGATGAAGGAATTGCTCGGCATCACACAGTTCGACACACACCACAACAAAATGGTGTAGCAGAACGCATGAATCAGACACTTCTAAAGAGAGCACGGTATATGCTCTTCAATGCTGGTTTGCCAAGGAGGTTCTGGGCGGAAGCAGTGAGCACGGCCTGCTTCTTGATCAATCGTGCACCTCATACAGGTATAGACTGCAAGATACCTTATGAAGTGTGGTCTGATATGTCCCCTACTTACTCAAATTTGAAGGCTTTTGGTTGTACTGCGTATTATCATGTCAGTGAGGGCAAACTAGAACCAATGGCTAAAAAGGGAGTGTTTCTGGGATATGGAGATGGGATTAAAGGGTATAGAATCTGGTCATCCTCAGAAAAGAAAGTTATACTTAGTAGAAGTGTAATTTTTGATGAAAACTCTATACTTAACCCCCTTGTGAAGGTTGTTGTTGAAGAAACTGTAGGTGTTGATAAACAGGTAGAGGTACAAATCATTCAAAATGGTTTTGAATCACAGCAGCAATTTAGTGATCATCAACAGCTATCTTGTGAAACAGAACCTTCTGCTGAAGTAGAGTCTCCAGAACCTACATCAGCAGAAAGGTTGGCACCTATATCCCATACTGCGTCAGAAACTCAGCAGCATGGTATTGCTTATGATTGTGCGAGGAGAGTGGGAGTACAAGCTCTCAGTAGGTATCAGAATTTTGTAGGTTATGCATTTCAGGTTGCTGAGGAGGTGGATTCTCTCGAGCCCTCTACCTATAGAGAAGCTATTTCAGGCAGTGAGTCAGCTCAATGGCTTGCTGCAATGGGTGATGAAATGGAGTCATTACACAAGAACGACACTTGGGAATTGGTCAAACGGCCAGCAGAGAGAAAGGTTGTGACTTGCAAATGGGTCTTTAAAAGGAAGGAAGGAATTTCTCCAGCTGAGGGCATCAAGTATAAAGCACGTGTTGTTGCAAGAGGGTTCACTCAAAAAGAAGGAGTAGACTACAATGAGATTTTCTCACCAGTGGTCAGACACACTTCTATCAGGGTGCTACTAGCAATGGTTGCACATTAGGACTTAGAACTTGAGCAGCTAGACGTGAAGACAGCTTTCCTGCATGGAGAGTTAGATGAAGAGATTTATATGACTCAGCCAGATGGATTCCATGTTCCCGGAAAAGAAAATTATGTATGCAAGTTGAAGAAATCCTTGTATGGATTAAAACAGTCCCCAAGGCAGTGGTACAAAAGATTTGACGGCTACATGATTGAGTTAGGCTACAACAGAAGTCAGTATGATTGTTGTGTATATCACAACAAACTTGAAAATGGTTCGATGATCTATTTGATTCTGTATGTAGAAGATATGCTCATAGCTGCGAGTAACAAAGCTGATATACAGAAGTTGAAAAGTCTTCTCAGTGCAAAATTTGAGATGAAAGACTTGGGTGCAGCACAGAAAATTTTGGGAATGGAGATTTTCAGGGATAGAAGTCAGAAGAAGCTTTTCTTATCATAGAAGAGCTATATTGAGAAGGTACTATCCAGATTTGGCATGTCTACAGCAAAACCCTCGAATACTCCGAGTGCAGCGAATGCTCAACTATCAGTTACACTCGCACCACAGTCAGAAGCTGAGATAGAGTATATGGCTAAGGTTCCCTATTCTAGTGCAGTGGGTAGTTTGATGTATGCCATGGTCTGCACTATACCTGATCTGGCACATGCAGTCAGTGTTGTTAGCAGATTTATGGCTAATCCTAGGAAGGAGCACTGGCTGGCCGTGAAGCGAATTTTTCGGTACTTGAGGGGTACATCTGACGTTGGTCTCATCTATGGAGATGATATAGAGTGTTTGGTTACAGGCTATTCAGATTCTGATTATGCTGGAGATGTTGATAGTAGGAGGTCGATGACTGGTTATGTTTTCACTCTTGGGCATTCTGTAGTTAGTTGGAAAGCAACTCTACAACCTACAATGACTCTGTCCACTACTGAGGCAGAGTATATGGCACTGACGGAGGCTGCTAAAGAGGGAATTTGGTTAAAGAGGTTGGTTGGAGATCTTGGCCTACATCAGGTTCAGGCTAATATATATTGTGATAGTCTCAGTGCAATATGTCTAGTCAAGGATCAAGTTCATCATGAGAGGACTAAACACATTGATGTCCGATATCATTTCTTGAGATCTGAGACAAGGATCAAGGTGAAGAAAATTGGCACTGCTGACAATCCAGCTGATATGTTCACCAAGCCGGTCCCTCATAGCAAGTTCAAACATTGTTTGGATTTGCTAAATGTCCTAAGTTTCTGATGGCCCTTATGGGCATTCTGATGGTACTTAAAGATAATTTTCTGAGTACATCTGGCACTTCATTAGTGCGTCTATTACATCTTTTTCGGGGAAGATTCAAGTCAAGGTGGAGATTTGTTGAAATGCCTTGAATTAGATTTTCGACCTTCGCTGAGCTGTACGGGGGTCTCGCTGCCCGGTCAGCGAGTCGGGGGTCCAGGGGGTGACGCGCCCCGGCTGGGGGGCCCGGGGGGCAGCGTTGCCCCCGATGGGGGTTTGGGGGCAACGGCCGCTGAGCTGTACGGTATATATTAGTTACCGTGTCTGTTTTATTTCGGATCTTGTTTTGGGCCTATTTTTGGATCCAGTCTGTTTGGTTGTATATATATACCTTATTTTAGTCTGTAAATTATTCCGATTACAACCCTAATAAAATCTGATTTCCCCCAAGTTGTTCTTGTCTATTCTTGTTTGTTCTTCTGTTCCGCTGCATTTGTTATAACAAGAAGCTTGATCTGTGCACAAAATTATTCATATTACAGCTCAAGCTTGTTCTTTTCTTTAATTCTAAATGTTGTGACTGAACTCCATTAGGAATTTGAATTTCTTTCATTTTTGGTGCTGGTAAACAAGGCTTCAGTTGAACTTCTTCCGTAACAGCAATTTTCTGGCTACCTAAAATAGCAAATATTTGAACTGATGAGAACGTCTATGCTAGAGGATAAAGCAGGTCAATGTGGGAAAGCCAAGAAAAAGGGGGATACTCGGTAAAATTAAAGAAAGGGGACAAAAGACTTACCTGAGCCCCTCTGATGATACCGATCTTTCAGGCGATCTAGCGTAGTTCTATTCATTCTGCTAAATCTTTCAAAAAATGCATCAGGGGCATTCTTTGTACCAGGATTATCCAACCTCTAGTGATTCCTACCATTCTTCATTGCCACCAATATTTCTAAGATTGATTGGAGGAGAGGGTGCTCTCGTACTCCATTGATGGTGGGAAGTAACAAAGGCTGCCACCAATATACTCGAATTTCATGTTGCCTTACACATACTGTTTAGTTCTGGTAGCCGACTCAGATACAACCCGCTTAACTTTGTGAGTATGATAGTGATGGCGGCTTCACTTGAAGTCAATTGGATGCCTTCTCCTCCTCATTGTCCTACTCCGTTGTCATCTGCTGCCATCTCCTCCAATCCTTCACAGTTATCGACATGTAAGAAATCCAGATGTTGGAGTTTTTGCAGCAATTGCAATTTGCAAGTGAACAGCTTCTTCATTTTGTGACATTCTGAAATCCCCACACGTGCAAGGGAAAAAAAGGTGCCATATTGAGGCAGCAGTTGGTGTCTAAAAGATGTTTCTGATACCCAATAAAAGAGTCCAACGAGATTAGGCATGTTTGCATGATTGAGCTCTTGAAGATTTTGTGGTGGACTAGAAAGGGACTCCACTAGCAGCTGATGCGGTGGGGGGAGAGTTGAGGACCACCTCAAGAGGTGCCCAACTTCATCTAATCTACAAATCTTCAAAAAAGACAAGTTGTTCAAGCTCATCAAGTTCTTAAAAACATCGGTCAAGCACCTACTTGCCAAGCCAATACATTTCAGAAGACTTAGAGACTTTCAATATGATTTGGCAGCAACAGCAAAGGAATCCATCCTCTGGAGAAGTTACACTGATGGAAAACCAACTGTTTTCCCTTATGAAAATCAATGTTGTCATTCACATTACAATACCCTTCTTCAGGTGAAGGCTCATTCACTTCAAGAGTATGATATTTGGGCCACAGATAGATTTCATAAATGCTATGAAAAGGTATACATCCTGTAAACACTTCTAACTGGTTCAACACTTGTGGACCATTAACTTGTACATAGCCATTCAAGACGGTGTTGCTTGGAAAATGTCCTTTTGATATTATCTTCTGCTTAAGATTTTCATATGCATCCATGAAAAGCCGCTCAAGGTTGACTAATGATACCAAGCCTTGAGGTAAATCCTGAATTCCAGATTCAGATAGGTCCAATTCCCTCAATTGCTTGAGCTTTCCTAGTGGTTACACAGGCAGAAGGTTGAGACAACCTTTCAACACCAAAGTAGTGAGATTCACTATGTCTGAGACACAATTAGCAGCTCAGCCTTAGCTCTAGGCCAACTTATATCCAAAATCTTAAGTCCACATATGTGCCTAAAGAATGATTCTGGAATTCTTTCGACATTTAAAGCATCAAATAGCAGGATTGAGAGATCCAAACAGTTTGGTGACATGCCCGGTGGAATTACTATTTCTAAATGTTCAGAGCACAAAATCGAACTGCATCTAGATATAGAGAAACTGCGTTGAGATATTCTGTCCATTCTTCTTATTCAAGTATTAGATTTGAATCTACTTTTGAGCTCTTCCCCGAGAACCTAGGCACATCTGCCATATCTCTAATCAAATCATGCAACTTTACACATCCATCTCCCACCGAATTTATAGTTTCTTCCAGCAAGCAAACTCTAATTAGTTTGTTTAATATCGTTTCACCATGATCAAATTCTTCAGATTTTAAGTTGCCTTTAGGCATCAGCCCTGCCCCAATATAGAGATTTATTAACTTCTCTTTCTATATAGCCCAATCTTCTGGAAAAAGACAGCAATACAGGAAACAATGCATTGGATATTTATTCAAGCAGTTAAACTCCATTCCTGGATGGGATATACGTCTCTTTCCATCTTATCATTCCCAACTGAGCATGCTTTCAATTGTTCCAACGCAGTTCTCCGCTCATAGATATCACTAACACCTCCCATACTCGTAGCCTTTCTGACGATACCAAGAGGCAAACTGGCACAGCTTTTTGCGACAGGCTTGGAATCTTTACCACATCTACATGAAGCACTGTTTCAAGGCCAAGTCTATTCTTGAACAAATACCAAGCTTCGTTTATATTCAAAGTTTTGGTTTCAAAAATCTTTGGTCAAATTATATTTTACCCCCCTGTGGTTTTCGCAAAAACCACATAACCCCCCATGATTGTAAAAGCTATACATAAACCCCTTGTAATTTGGATTGAAGTGTCAAATAGACGAAAAGCACTCATCGTAACGATTCATGGGCGAAATGTCCAAATTACCCTAATATAAATACAAAAAAAGAAGCAGATGAAGTCAGATTTTCCCTTCCTCTAATCTTTGTTGTGAAAGTACCTGTGAAAGAGTATCTGTGAAAGAGTATCACGAAAAAGTATTTTAAAACACCTCCACCATTACCGCCGCCACCATTCCATCCACCACCATTAAGTCAGATTTTGAAAGTAGCTTGCACCAGGACCATAGCTACCACCATTCCACCCATTACCATTACCGCCGCCACCTGGATGGGTTAATACAGAGGGGGAGGAAAAAAATTACAAATGTAGGAGAAACTCCGCAAAAGGATACATCAGAGGTCCGTTCTGGTCGATCGAATTTACAACCATTAGAATAATTCTGCCTTCATGCGTAAACAAAAGTTTCAATACCAATTAGCTATAAACCAATACTAAAGTGGCTTCTCCCTTTCTTTGTTAATAATGGACATTGGCAAACAAAGAAGCTGAAAAGAAGAAGGGCAATAGCAGGAGGATCCCACACCCATAATCTCCCTCATCCATATACATTTTCGACCCCATGTCATTTTCCCTCTGTTATGCCAAAGGCTGGAACCGCTACTAAAACGGTATTGCATCAAGTGCAGTCCATCTGTTGCTCGACAAGTTTTTGCTTTCTCTGAGTTTCCAAGTGCAAAGAGAGCTTAGCGCACTTCATTTTGGTCTCAAGTAGTTTGCACCAGGACCATAGCTACCATCATTCCATCCACCACCATTACCGCCGCCACCTGGACTATATTTACTGCTTGGACCACCACCTCCACCCGACCCATCATCATTACCACCTACAGAGCCATATCCACTGCCGTCATTGCTGCCTCTGCTTCTAGTCCCATAACCACCACTATTACCATCTACAGAGCCATATCCAATGCCGTCACTGAAAGAGATAAGGAGCACATATCTATGTTTTACTAGGCCCGTTAAAGTGGTCAGGGGTAATATGGGAATGGTTTTTACCACTACCAGTAGTACAATAGCGTTTAAGCTACGAATCGTCACGATGGGTGCTTTTCGTCTGTTCGACACTTCAACCCAAATTACAAAGGGTTTATGTATAGCTTTTACAATCATGGGGGGTTATGTGGTTTTTGCGAAAACTACAGGGGGTAAAATGTAAACCGGCACAGCTTTTTGCGACAGACTTGGAATCTTTACCACATCTACATGAAGCACTATCTCAGGGCCAAGTCTATTCTTGAACAAATACCAAGCTTCGTTTATATTCAAAGTTTTGGTTTCAAAAATCTTTTGACAACGCATCCTGCGGCACAATCCTATGGAGCGCTTAGTCAAAATCAATCTAAACTTGTTTGCACCAAGAGAATTCCAACTCTTTCCATAGAATTTTCTTGCCAAATATCGGCCAGTATTAATCCAGACAGCTGCACCCCGGCCCTAGATAACTTGGCCGCCCTAGTATCCTCTTCATCCTCACCTGATAAACAAAGCCTTACACGCTTAGTAATGTCGTCCTGTAGCTTTCGTTTGCTGAATTCTCGAGAGACAGTGATCCAATAAACTTAACTCGGTGTTCTCAAGAAGATGATAATGGATGTGTTTCCCCAAAGTTGTCTTTCCTACTCCTCCCATACCATAAATCCCAATGTTTGATATGTTCTCTGTGAACAGCCATGCCCAGATACTTTTCAAAACTTGGTTGAACATTTCTCCAAACAATTTTGCTATCACTTGCGGTTCACTTCCACTCTCAAAAGCCTCAAGTAAAAGCCCATCAAAATGCTGACTTTGCTCCATAAGTACTTCCACGCTTGCACCCATTCTTGCCACCATCTTCCCACTACTAAGTGCATTTCTCAAATCTCCTCCCTCTTCTACTCTCTTTCCGATGAATTAAATTCATCTTTAATTTCTTCCACCTCCTCAAACCAATTTTCAACCTCTCTTTTCCTTTTCTTAGTACCTGAAAGTTCTACATTTGTCACTTCGAACTCAAGGTTAGATTTTCTGCAGCTTAATCTTTTCAACTTCCTTTGCAGCAATCTTACGTTGTCTTCCAAGTTTAAATGGCCTCTCCCTTTGTCTGACGCTAAGCTTCCCAACGCTTCCATTGTTTGGGTGAGCACCTGTACTATCATACTGAGAAATGATAAACGAATTGCGAGAAAGTCAATTGCAGAGAATCACAATATATGTTCTATTCACATATTTGTTCTGCATGCTACCAAAGGTGTTAACCTCGTTCAATCTAACAAAAGGTTAAATTATTTAGGTTTTACACTAAAATGTTCAATCCTAAGAAAATGCTAAATTCACGTTCAACTTTACACTTTGTTCATGATAAGTCATGAATGAAATTTTGGGAAATGATGTATTCCATATATGGAAGATAAATACGTTAGTCGTTAGTGAATCAAAAGTGTTTATGGTTGAAACCATCATATGAGTGGAGAAGATGGGATGGCATAACTTACCATATTGACAATTGAAGGGAACGTATTACTTTCAGAATTGCTCTAATTAGCAAAGAAACCAGCCACAATTTTGAGTGTAAATTCAAATTAATCTACTTGGATTAGGTCAAGGAACAATTAAACGTCTGGAGGAAAGTAACCCCATTGCAGCCCACTTTCCAGATTGAATCTCTTCACCCCTAACTATTCATTTCAAGAAGTATACAAGCTTTCATGCTTAGCTAACTACTCACATGGGATTAATAATTGCCGTAGATATGAGGAGAATAACAGATGTAAAAATTGCAAAAAGACAAGTAAACGGGACTTTTAATATATCTATGCGTAATTGTGCAAGAAATTAAGAACATGGGATTAATGTTATGAGAAAATAGCAGAAAGAATGGGGGAAACAAGTACAAGGGATCATTGTTTCATCTTACTAGTCAACACTAGACTTGAATATAGTATTTTGCATATCAAATGATTTTTCCTTGAGGAATTATGCAGCAAACACAAAAATATAGACTTACATAAGGGGGGGGGAGTTAACTAATTCTTGGTTACCTGGAAATGTTGCAAAAACCAAATTTGTTAGCCCGCAATTTTTTGCAGATTAGATTGCAAGAAGTTGAGAAAGATAAGCTTCTCCTTTTTAAATTAGTCTTCAATAGCATATCATGTAGTTAGAAGGATGAATGGGAAAGCCTTCAAAATAAATGATAGGATTCAAAATTTGTCATTGACGAGGAACAGCGACTCATAGTTCTAAAGACATAGACATACAAGGAAAATGACTGAGATTACTGGAATGTTTAGGAAATCACCAGTCAGTGAATTACTATGAACATACATCCCAAAGAAGTTATTAAAAGGATAGCACAAATAGAAAGAGAAATTGAACCTATTCATCCCAAAGAAGTTTGTTCTATGACTATTTGTACTGGACTTGTAGCAGAGACAAAAAATTATTAAGCCACACGGATCTTTCACTCGATCCATGACCCATCTCGTATAAGTTTGATTTCTTTCTTGAGTAAATTATTGCACAGCAGTTTAACTATTCTACTAGTATATCGCATAGAGATTTTCTTTGAAATATTACTTGAGCACGTTATTCAATTACCTAATTAGTATCCCAATTACCATGGTATCTCATGTCGCATACATTACGTTTCAAAAGGTAAAACAGCATCGTTCTCCAAGAAGACGTTCTTAAAAATCACAATCCAAATGGAATTGTTTTCTACTTATTTGTCTTCTCTACTGCGAAAGAATGGTAATTTGCACTTTGCAGTTAAAATTTTAGTAATAAAAAGGCAGACGAATGGATGTGCATTTTGTTATCAAACTCAAAAATTTTAGATTCTGTGGATAACACCATCTATATAATTATTTGGGACAACAGAATAAGGTTTGGAGGATGGAATTTGGTGGACGTACGCTCGAATTTTCTCTGACTTTCAATATATATATATTATTCCTCTAGAAAAATCCCAATTCACAAAGTCATTAAATATTTCAATAGTATCAGTTTAATTTAACTTTATCTTAGAGGTCATGCCACCATTTGTAAGTTAGTTTGTCATGTTGTAATTAATGATATATTTCTATTGATTCAATAATTATCTTCTGGTGGCTTGAGACATGATAGGCTAAAATTTATCTATGTATTTTATTATTATTTTCCCCTATTACCTGATTTGATGTGGATTAATTGCTGGATTCTACTCATTTTCCTTAATTTACGTATATTTCAGGGAGTAGAACGAAAACTTGATAACAGGTGCCAAATTGACAGGAAAAGAATTCAGATGATAAAGCTTGTCCCAGGGGCACTTTTGGAAGAGGAGATGTCACGCCCATTTTGGTAATTTTCGCAAAGGAATGACTGACGGAGGGCTTCTCCCTGCTGGTGAGCCGCCGCAATAAGAAGGAAGAAAAAGGATCAAAAAGGGGCTGGCTTAATTCTTAGTTTTCCGTCTGTAGCTTAGCTTGAGATTGTTGACTTTTCCTTGAGCTTTTGCTCTTGACTTTTCTTACGCACGACAGGATAATTTAGCTTGAGTTCTTGACTTTTCTGAGTTACCTTACTTTTAGCTTTTTGTCTCCACGAATGCTAGCAACAATAAAGAAACTCAATTGTCACTTGCAATTGCCGTGTGCCTTATAAGTGTTCGACGAATTGCGGATTCCGAAGATGCAGGCTAAGGCCGTGACTCTGGCTGAAATTTTCTGCGGGCTTAGTTCATCCAATATGAGCTAATCGCCTCATTCTAGTCAAGAAACGACGGATGCTTTGATTCGCCCGAAAATTGTGAGATCGATTTAATTTAATCTCTCCCTTTTATTTATTGGTATTCGTGTATTCCTTGATTGCTACGCTTATGGTTATTCAATTAATTGATTGTCGTGGATCCGGATAATTAATTGATCTGATAGCCTATTGTCAACTAGGGCATTTAAATCCGTAATTGTTTGATTGTCCTGAATTAGTGACGACTGGCACGATTAGCTTCGTGTCAGGGGGATACGCGGGCTAATCTAAAATAACTCTGGTAGTGCGTTATTTGATTAGAATAGGGCTCCTCTAATACGTAAGGCAGTTGGAAAATTAAATTCTATGGGCGTACCTAGAATTATTTCTCAATTAGAGCAGTGATTAACGGGCGTACCTTAATCATCGACACAGTAAGGAGGGGTTGACTGTCATCGCTCGCTTGGCAGTTATAACCTATTTATTGATAAATAATCGGAATTGCCTTTGCTTATCGATGATCAATTAGGTGAACCATTGCTGAAGTTATTTCTTGGCTAGATCCTTAATTATCACTTGTTAGATTTAAGTAAATTGTTATTTACTTTCTAGTTGGCTATTTTACTTTTATCATTTTATTTTTAGTTGAATTGTTTAAATTGTCACTCCTGATATAAAACACCCCCTTTGTCACTGTGAATTTGGAAAGGAACAATTACTCCCAGTCCCTGTGGATTCGACCCTGCTTACCGCTATCTACAGAAATTACTTTTAGTTTGAGCAGGTTTTATTATTGCACAGGCTGACGACCTGTCAATTTTTGGCGCCGTTGCCGGGGACTGGCGTTATTATTTGTTTTTTTTTAAATTCATTTTTTTTGTCCTAATTTCCTGGTTTTCTTCTAGTGTATGCCTCGGTCCTCTCGTACAGGTGATTTGATTTTTGACCCTGAAGTAGAGAAGACCGTGCGTAGAACGAGAAAGGAAACCAGACAGCTCAGAGAGGAACACTCTAGTGCTACATCTCAGAGACCTGAGTCAGGAGTCGAACCAACAGATTCATTTGGAGGCACTTCGAGTGACTCGGAGCAAGAAGAAATTTCCATGGCTAATGTACGAACATTAAGGGAGTTGGCTGCCCCTAATTTAAACCAGCAGCCTTTGTGCATTACTTTCCCGAGTTTGAGTGAAAACACTTCATTTGAGTTAAAATCTGGTTTGATTGCTCTTTTACCCTCTTTTCATGGTTTACCAGGTGAAGAGCCGTATAAGCATCTGCAGGAATTTGATGTCGTATGCAACAGTATGAAGCACTCAGGGATTACAGAAGAGCAGATAAAAATGATGGCATTCCCCTTTTCCTTGAAGGATTCTGCAAAGGACTGGCTAAACTACCTGTCACCAGGTAGCATCACCACGTGGGACCAATTGAAGAAAAAATTCTTGGATAAATATTTTCCTGCGTCCAGGGCTGCAAGTCTAAGAAAAGAAATTTGTGGCATCAAGCAGCATCCAGGGGAGTCGCTCTATGAGTATTGGGAACGGTTCAACTTCTTGTTGCACAAGTGTCCCCAGCACCAGATAAGTGAGCAGTTGCTCATTCAGTATTTTTATGAGGGACTCCTTTTTAGAGACAGGAGCATTATTGATACTGCAAGTGGAGGGGCATTAGTGAACAAAACCCCTCAAGAAGCACGGGAGTTGATAGAGAGGATGGCAGAGAATTCACAACAATTCGGTACGAGAGAGGATTGTCCAATACGCAGGGTGAATGAGGTAGAGACACCCTCTATGCAGCAGCAGCTAGCTGAGTTGACCGCGTTTGTTAGACAACAGGCTGTGAGAAATGCATCACAAGCCAGGGTGTGCGGAATTTGCACTGGTATGGGTCATTCTGCAGACATGTGCCCAATGATTCAGGAAGAAACTGCAGAACAAGTAAACATGGCTGACCACGCGCCCGCGCCAAGGAAGCAGTACGACCCTTACTCAAGCACCTACAACCCCGGGTGGAGAGATCATCCCAACCTCAGTTATGGAGGGAATAGGCAACCCAACTTTACACCGAACAGGCAGTCTAACTTTGTGCCAAATAAGCCACCAGTGTACCAGCAGCAATACCAA